GGGGGTTGGGAAAAGGGAGGGGGGGGCAAAGAAGTTTTACCCTTATAAATAGGGGATCAAAAAAGTTTTAACACAGAGAAAGGGGGGGGAGGGTCAATAAAATTTATGAACTTAAATACCATGTCTAGAGTTCTGATTTCTATAATCACAAATAGCAAAAAAGAAGACTCTGAAAATGCTATTTCCAACGATCTAGAGACTCAAAATTTTCAAAATTTCCCTGCTCATTACCAACCACGGTAGCGCCTCGCGATCGTTTTCTAAGTTTAAGCTTCCCACCCCCTGAGTGACCCAGTTGTGGTATTTGCATAAACATAGCATGCAGGTACACTTAACTGATCAGATTTGGTCTATCAAAGCACAATGTAACGCTGTATATCCAAAAATCTGCTTCAGAAAATGCTCACAATTTCAGTTCTAGGGGTGGAAAAATACAAAAAATTTTCTGGGGAAGAATACCTCCAGACCCCCCTAGTACATACGATACCACACCAAACTTTTTGTCACCAACAACCATCTGTCATCTCTCAACACTCAATATAGTACGGTCTTTTTTGTAGATGCCCACCCCCAGACAAGTTCTTAAAAAAAGCCTGTGTTCAAATCATTTCGCTGCATGAAGACGGGTCATGGGTTAGGGTTATGGTAGAACAAATGTTGCATTGCAAAGTAGTAACACATAACATATATTTTTTAATCATATATGGTTGAATCATATTCACCACGGTAAAACATCATGAGCTATATTAAACAGATTGTCCTAATATCTAACTTTACCTGCAACGCATACATGTTTCATTGCTGTTAATTTTTCAATCCACACTGGAGGGGGGGAGGGGGGGTCAGAAAAGTTTCTACTTTTATGAGGGTGGAGGCACAAAAAGTCTGCCTTCAGTCTGGAAGGGGGGGGTCAATCCTTATTTTCCCCATTTACCCCCCCCCCTCCCCATAAATAATGACCCTCCCTTAGATGCTGCTAGTTGTGTTGACCAAAATTTTTCTTCGGCTTTCTTGATCTTATTTTCGTCACAAATTTGCTTATAACAATTTTCGTGCATATACCATTTGATTTCTCTCGTACCAGTAAGTCATAAGTGCTCATCTGAAAAGAGTTCAGGACTTTTTCTGCACAAAAAAAGCTTTTTCTCCTTCTAAATTAATCCATCTTTTATGACAAGATATCACCTTGTTTAATCGTGTTTGCGAAATCAACGATGTGGATTGTCTTACATGTTCAAAATGAATTAAACATGATGAAATTCGATATTTTCAATATCAACATCGCCCGCCATTTTGAGGCTATAACCATGGCAACAACTAACTTTTTGCTGACAAAGCGAAAATGAGATTCAAAATGGCCGCCAAGCGACAAGCAAAAATCCACTTATTTTAAGGACAATGTTCTTCAAATTGTGCAAAGTTATTTCCGGGGGGTTTGCTGTAAAAGATATACAAAGTGAAAACAGATATTTTAAGAACGAAGCCGTTCAGTCTTGCGATATGTGCAGCGGAAGTGCAAGATAGCAAGTGGCAGACGACGGTCTAAAGCGAGTTGAAGTGTGAAACCCAGTTGGAAGCCTACATGTATAAGCAATGAGCAAAATACAAAAGTTAAGTTGAAGGTGCTTTTGTTTTGGTTAAAAGATATCATCTAGTCTCTGACTTTAGTTTAATTGAGGCATACTTATAATCATCCTACAGGTGAAGAAATAAGAAATTTATAGTGCTAATCGTGTGGGTATGGTAACCTCAAAATTCATATTTATAGTTAAAATACCTTAAGGAAGTATTTCTGAATATCTTCATCACTCAGGTTTTTCTTACCCAGCAGGGTATATAGTTGATCAAAATCCTAATTCGAGATAAAAAAATTAAATTTTTCATCAAATATACCAAGATACATATAGCCTACCTAGTTTGTAAGTCTGTGTTTATCAAAAAGACTGCATTGGCTCAATCGAGAAGGCTTACCTTCCATAATTTGATAACAGCCTCTTCAGTGTCAGGCATAATAACCCAATTTAGTTTATCAGGCAACTTTTTTAGTAATAACTTTTTAGCCGACCCCATCAGACTTGTGAAATCGTACATTCCACTTCCACTTCCATCTCCATTTGTTTTTTCCCAAACCTGGAAAGAAAGTCCACAACTCCTAATTGCTTCAAGTAGATCCTCCATATGTTGATTACTCCTTTTGGATGGTGCTTTGTTTAGGTTGTCCTTTTTGTCCCATTCTAGCGCTGCTTCAATTAAATTCTTTGTCAATTTATCTGAAATACAAGAGCAATGTATAATACATAACAATGTTCCAGGATACTGAATCAGAAATATAATAAATAAATAAATGTACATACTGCCTGGTGGTATGTTTTAGTACCTGTTATTCGCAACATCAGATGGAGCTCATCTAATATAACATTCTCTAAGGGTATGTTAACAAGTGGCATATGCTCACAGGAATATTCTTGCTTTTTTGCACACTCTTTGATCTCTTTCAAGGATCTAACAATGTGATCACTCCAGTAGTATTCCTGTGACTTTGACATATCATATCTATAACACATTGTGCAAGAATTTTGGGAGATATTTATTACCATGGTGATGAAGATATATTTTAATACGTTCTTTATTTTTAAGAAAATATATTATATTGCAGTTACCTTTCATGTTTATGGATTTTGCACCATAAACATGCATGGTCTGAAGTTGCTCCCTTCATCCCCAAGACAAGTAGAAGAAACTTTGGTACATATTTAAGAAATATGAAAATAAGCTTTTGGATGTTTAAAACAATTTTCTTGCTTACTGTACTCTAGTTACTGTATTTCTGTCATATATGTATGTACATTCGTCGGAAGTTGGGAGGTCGGGAGATGGGAGGTCAGGAGGTGGGAAAAGAGGAACGCTTTGTGCAAATGTTCCATCAGATTTAAATTAAAACAGCATATATATATATATGACATATAAAGCTTACCTTATAATCACCTGCCAGAAACATTTCTAAAGGAATATCTTTTTCATTAATTGATATCTTTTTCTCCTTCACTAATACGTTCACTTGTTTAAATATAGCAGCACATGAAGTCTGCAGCAGTTCGTACGATTCCTGACCCTTGATTATGGCTATTGAATGGTTTCCTGCAGATGACATTATTATGGTTTGTCAGATTGTACTGTACATAGAGATTATAATTAATAACACTAGAGGGGGCATCGTAATCTTAACATCAGGCGAAAAAAGGAATACGGCTATTGGGGGACGAATTCAAGTCCCGGATGTGTACTCATTTTCCCATCGGGCACCTAAATTTGTCCCCCATTTTAGCCACGTACCCAAATTTTAACCTTGATGCCCCATCTAGTATTATTTATCATCTCTATGTCACTGTATGTATATTGCTACATTACTCTTTAAGATTATACCTCTTGAGGCCATTACATCATCATCTTTGTTTAACACTGCAAAGGAGATCACAACAAAATTTGTCAGTTTTGACATTTTTGCACCATCCCCTGAAAGCTTGATCTTTAACTTGAAGCCTGGATCATCAATGTTGATGTCTTTACTTGTAATCTGCAAAATAAAAAATACTGTACTATTGAATACATAGTATGGTCAACAGTACAACTTTAGTCCTAATTCAGGTTAATATCCCATGATGAGGAAATTCAAATACTGTAGGTCCTGGGTCTCAGTCACTCTAAGGAAAATGAAGGCTAAGGTACCGATAATACAAATACTTTCTCAGTCTACAGCAAGTAAAATCAAAGTCACATTGAATGTGGCAGACACGATTCAAGTACTGTAGTGTCATTTAGGGCAGGGGGTCTAGAGGGACTGTTTACTTCAATACGGGTACAGCAGGGCAAGGGGGAAAGAACTTATATCTGAGAACTGTTGCTCCTATGTTTTAAAGAAACAGTACATGTACTTGCCATCATTCTGATATAAGATTGCAATTCCCACTTAAAATCCAGTTGAACTCCTTCAGCCTGACCAGGTGTCCTTGTTATGTGACATAGTGAATTAAGTTGTTCATTACATTGTTTGATGAGGTATGACCGTGGCAATTGATTTCCTCCTTCACTCATTGTCAGTTCGTGATATGCAGCATCGCTTACACAGAAATTGTCTAACAAAAATAGGATATTTTTTACTTTTTCTTGCTCTTCTTCAGTTAGGTCTTTATAAGCTCTTGCATGATTGGACTCGTTGTAGGTTATTGTGTGCTCAGTACCCTTTTGATCCAAAAGATTAATGGACCGGATTGTAATTCAAGGCCGAAGGTCTTTGCAAACCAAAGTGCTTGTTCAATTTTAGTTTTTAGTTCTTTTAGTTTTCTCCTTTGTTGACGTTCGCCAACTTCACAAACCTTTTTACTTTTGTTGTCAAAGTTAACATCTTGTCCAATGTTCTCGATATACGTGTAGAGTTCCAGATTTTCGGTCTGTAGGATGTCAATGTTTGCCGTAGCCTGCTGTAAGTTCTGGTGGGCATCTTTCTCAGCCTTTTGGGCATCCCTCATTTGGCTATATAATTCTTCACATCGGGATTTAAGGATTTCGTTTTCTTTGCACATTTGTTCGTTTTTTGCCTGTTCTTGTTTTAGCTTAGATGCTAGTTCTGCCATTGTCTGAAACTCCCCTGCACGTACCGAAATATTGACTACATTAAGGTTAAGTTTCCTGAACGTTGTGCCATTTGCCCCTACATATTTGGCTGCAACTTGGCAACACAACCGCCTTAAACGACCTTCAATTCTCTCGCAGTTTTCTCTTATTTTATATCCACTTATCTGGTTCAGATAGTAGTTGAGTATTTCGATCCAGCTGCAGTTGATTTTGTTCAGTAAACCATCTTTGGCTTTGCAAGTATACCAATACCGTAATGTAATATATGGGATACGTACGGTAAAGACAACTTGTTCAGAAGACACACACTGTTTTCCGACATAATTCAAACACTGATTTGGATTAACAACTTGAACGTGGTTTTCTACCTTTTGCAAGTCAAAAATTTTAACGATATCTGACATTTTAAAGCTACATTATATCAAAACAGAACTGGAAAACTTGCAGTGTTTATAAAGTTGTATTTAATTTTGCCGCCACTTCGCGGCTCGCGCAAGCAAATAGTTGTTTTGGGAGTCCACTGACCAAAAGAACTGCATATATACCCTACACGCGTAAAAATCATCATGTTGATGCAAGTTGTTCAAAACAGGAGCGAACAATGTTGTGCTGCACCCCGTGAACAATATTAGAGAGTTTGAGCAAGACAACGAAGTCGGACGACGACGACGTGGTTGACAATTTTTGCCTGTCTTGCACATTACCTTGCGCATTCTGAGTTTAGGGTCAGGAGTGAAGACAGATTAGAGATTTATGCCTAGCTGTTTGTGAATGCTGACCCAAATCCTTACCCTGATCTGGATAAAACAGCGAGACATGAATCCATATCCCGTCTTCGTCTTCTGCCTTCGTTCACAACGAATACTTTCGCAAATTTCGTTGTGAAACTCGTTCTGCACGAAGGCAGAAGGACAAAGACGGGATATAGTTTCATGTCTCGCTGTTTTTTTCTGGATCAGGGCAAGACTTATGGTCAGTATTCATAAACAGCGACACATGGGAAGATACGTTGTGCAACCACCAGTGACGTCCAACTCGGTATGCGCAAGATAATGGACATACGGCAAAAATTGTCAAGTATGTTTTCGTCTTCGTACTTCGTTGTCTTGCTCAAACTCTCTATTGTTAACAAGTTGTTGAACCATCAATATTGTTGCAACTTGTTGACAATCATGTTAACAACTTGCAACAGTACTGATGGTTGAACAACTTGTTAACAATATTGTTCACGGGGTGCAGCACAACATTGTTCACACCTGTTTTGAACAACGCCGAACAACCTGATCAATTTTTAACCGTGTAAGCATAGCAGTAGAAAAACAAGCGTTTCTTGCTGATCATTTTGGTAGTAAACAAGGCCGGTTTTCTGTGAAAAAAACTTAGTTTTTTAAACTTATTCTGGTGTAACGATCGCAGCGAGTGATTATACGAGTCATGTTTGCCGTGATTTTACAAGTTTTTTTACATTCACGGACAAAATGCAGAGCCCATATAAGTCCATATATGATGTTTTTTTGTGAAACTTGGAAGGTTAACTGTACTATTATTGGTCTAATGAAATCCATCGAGGCAAATCCGGATATTTGAACAAGATCACAATTATCGTGGATTGAATTCTTCGACGAGTGGTAAATAATACAGCGTTAATACATATTATATGGCGGAAAAAAAGTAATATTTAATCGAAGAATGCCGAGGCACAATTCAGACTATCTATATAAAATGCATAAAACTGAAAACATGGCATACCGCTCTAATCAATCACGGCAGGGCACTTGTTTTAAGTAAATCTTTAAAAGCTCTTTTTGTGTTTTTTTTTTTTTGTTTATTACAAGCTAAAAGTCTATAAAGTTAAATGTTATTTTCATGCTTAATTTACGAGCATGCGCAGTAGACGTGTCCGCGATTTCTGGCCATGCGTTTGAATTTAGTTTTTACTTACAATTGGTTCATTGGTAAAACATAATTTCAGCAGTTATAAATCATCCGAAGCTGCTTCTGATCTAACTAAAATGTTTTTCACAATTCTGGGTATATTAGTTTGCAAAAAGTATAATTTGATTCAAATTTGAGTGGTAGGTCCAAGGTCGTTTTTTAACATTTTTAAAATCAACCAAAATTACAATATTCACAGTGTTTATTTACTTGAACAGCCAAATATTTGTATTTTTCTTCGAAAATCATGTGTGAATATCATGTTTAGTCATATGGACATATCGCTTATTCCATTTTTCACTATTCATATTGATTTAAAATCTGTATGAATATTTTTATTCCCAAAATCCATCAAGTACTGGTACTGTACTATTTGGCAGAAATGGACTTTTAACAGTCTACTCTTTAACATCAAGTTTAACTATTGAAAACTAGCCCAAAACTGTTTCTGATCAAACTAATTTATTTTTAAGGATGAGGCCTGGGTATATTAGTTTGCAAAAAGTATAATTTGATTCAAATTTGAGTGGTAGGTCCAAGGTCATTTTTTGACATTTTTAAAATCGACCAAAATTACAATATTCGCATTGTTTATTTACTTGAAAAGCCCAATATTTGTATTTTTCTTGGAAAGTCATGTGTGAATATCATGTTTAGTCATATGGACATATCGCTTATTCCATTTTTCACTATTCATCCAGATGATCTTGATACGCGGAAAAGTACTGGCACTAGTTGTCAAATACAAATCCATTTTATGATTAAAACAACTGAATATCTCCTGTAATATACTTTATTTCGATTCCATATTTTTGTCAGAGCTATCTTTCTCATAACCAAAAATAATTGCAAACTTTCAACTAGTTTCACAAAGAATAGCGAGAGATATAATTGACTGAATACATCAAAATGGATTTCTATTCGGACAACCCTTTCTGAACGCTGATTAGCTAAAATACGAACACGAGATCACCTGGATATTGATTTAAAATCTGTATGAACATTTTTATTCCCAAATCTATCAAGTACTGGTACTGTACTATTTGGCAGAAATGGACTTTTGACAGTTTACTCTTTAACATTAAGTTTAACTATTGAAAATTAGCCCAAAACTGTTTCTGATCAAACTAATTTATTTTTAAGGATGAGGCCTGGGTATATTAGTATGCAAAAAGTATAATTTGATTCAAATTTGAGTGGTAGGTCCAAGGTCATTTTTTGACATTTTTAAAATCGACCACAATATTAATAAGGCTGTTTTGAAGGATATGTGAATCTAATGTGCTGCAGAACTGTTCCTGAACAGGCTAAATTGTCTCACATATGAAGGCTGGGGTATGTTAGTTTGCAAAAAATATAATTTGCCTAAAATCTGAGTGCGCGGTCCAAGGTCGGTTTTTACCATTTCTAAAACCTATCAGTTTTGTCTGTCTGCGAATATCCACAATTACTACCAAAATCAACATGTTCATAAAAAGGCTTGGAGCCTGGTTAGTCTCTTTATATGGGAAAATGCTTGTCCTGGTAACCGTGATTTAATCTTTTTCAAGTGAGGTCTTGTGCAAAGCTACACAGTGATATGTCCCTTATTACTTAATTAATTAGGCTAGTTGTATTGCTAACCATGCAAACCCAGCTTTCATATAAAAATCCTCCATGTCTGAACTTTTTTTATTAAACTCATGCAGTAAATGTTTCTCATTAATTTCATTAAAAATAAACACATAGATGGGTAATATATTGGAATTCTACCAGGCCAGGCATAAATTAGATCATGCATATACACAGTATATCATAATAAATTTGCAAAAATATCAGATTTTCTAAGAAGATCTTTTCTTGCAGGTTATCAAAGAAAACAATAAATGAAACAAGATGAAAATGAATATTTATTAAATCACAGATTGTGATACAAATTTAATTATGATACAAATTTATATTGTGTGGATATTACAAAAGTTTATAGGATGTACAAAATACTCTACAATGTACAGACATCTGCCATAATCATCATATCTTTAAGGTTGTAAAAGTAATATCCCAGAGATCTGTAAAAAATATACTTTCATTGTTAACTTAGAGGGAAAGGAGCATTCTCTTGTGTGGCATCGGGATGGATTTTCTTGGGGCAGGGCAGTGATTATCAAACTAAAAAGTTCTTTATGACCTTATAGGCGATTTTCATTTTTTAAAGGAGAGGTGGAATAATGTCTAGCGGGGTGCAAGTGACAAAATAGGTGGGGTGAATTTCTGGAGGGCTTAATCCCCCCTTGTATATCCCCTCATACTTGAGCCTGTCTGGAGTCCATAGTGATGATGCATTCTGCTTCATCAGACCAGGCCCTGCTTTATGACCAGCCCTGGTTTAGCAATCCTCGTACCACATCAAGTTATATTCATGAGGGAAAGTAGGTTGTTTCAACCATTCAGGCTTTCTGGCATCCTTGTGTAGAAAAGTAGGACAAAAGTAGGACTAGAATATTAGGAAAAGTAGGAATAAAGTAGGAAATTGTGTAGAAAAGTAGGACAAAAGTAGGAGTTTTGGAGATGCAAATAACACAAAATATACAAAATTGAAATGCCATTTCCCGGACTTTGGGGAAGATTTGACAGAATTTTAATGTTCAGAAAACAGCGTTTCAGTATGTCGAAATTTACAATTTAGTAGTACTAAATGGACGAAGACGTATTTAATTAACTATATATTAGATAAGTTGCAGAAACGTATGGGTAATATCTTCATTCTTTGCAGTTTGTTATGGACTAAATGATAAAGGTCTGCATGATTTTGAAAAAAAATTATTATTAGCAAATTATTGGGGGGCTGCAGCCGCCCCCCCCCCCTCCAGCAAATTATTGGGAGGGGGGGGCTGCAGCCCCACCCTCCAGTTGCTACGGCCCTGCATATATGATGCTTGATTAACTGAGGGGGGGGGGTTGAATATTTGGAATCTCTAGATCGTCGGAAATGGCACTTTCAGAGTCTTCATTAATTTATTGATTGTGATTCTAGAGATGCTCTGAAATTTTATACTCAGAAAATGTACTTCTTCTCCTCCTGAGATCTTATGATCTGGGACACAAATAGGAAATAAAAATTACGAGTCCTATAGATCAAATTACGACAGCTATAACATACTGATTCCCCAAGCTGTCTTAAAAAAGTAGGATTTTATGAGAAAAAGTAGGAAAACCAAGCAATTTTTAATAAAAAATAGGAAAAGTAGGAAAGTTGAAGAAAAGTTGGAAAAAGTAGGAAAAGTAGGATGGCAAGAAAGTCTGACTATTATTTCCACTTGCAATTATTGCCTACAGTACATCTCATATGAATTTGTGGTTTCAACTTTAGTATACCGTATGACTAGCATGGTATACCTGAAGCACTGCAACAGCTGCATGTATACAAAACAGTATGAAGTTTACAATTACAGATATGCATGCTGTGTCCACTTGCAGTGAAATGTTTTTCATATGGACATATGCAACAGTAATCAGAGCGCCAGAGCAAAAAAAAGAAAAAAACTGATTCGAGGTAAATGGATTATATTTACAAATGTTCAAATTCTTCCTTGAAAATTCAAAAAGTGCTTTAAAATTTTGCATGTACCTACTGTATATTAACGAGTTATGAACACGTAGGCCATCATTCCAAAGACGAAAGCAGTCACTTTCAATCAGTTTAATATAATATATATAAATAGCTTTATATATATAAATAATTTAAATAACAGCCACTAAATACGATATTACACTTACCATGTTATCTTTCTTTATATTTGGCAATGTTTTGCCTCGTGACACAGCCAAAAATTCTGTTGTTTTTCTTCGCAAATTTTAAGAAACTTTTAAAAACAAGATGGTGGCGCAGCATTTTTTCACGAAGGCCTGGTCGCTAAGTTTTGAGCGCTTTTCGAAAAACATACGCGACTTTGTAAAAAATCTCCTCTTATTATTATTATTATAGGAGGCATAACGAGGCATAATGTATGTTGAGAAAAAGTGGGGAAAATAAACTGAAAAAACATGAAATATGTAAGATATTAGTAAAAAAATGCTAGAAAAGAGGTCAATCTGGCGAAACATTTTTAGCATTTCGAAAGTTTCCGATGTTTAGCAGGGAATTTGATTGGTCGGGCAAAATGCAAAAGGCGGGCAAATTTCATTCTGCCCCCTAAATTTTCCGCTCCTGTACGCCGATGACTGGCCTTATCATTCAAGTCTTGTTCAACAATCCCCCCCTGTTACATCATACTCTTGTGACGAACAGAAAACCTTTAAATTGAAAGTGGCATCTTAACATTCACCTTATCGTCTGCTGTGGATGCGGACGTCGACGCGAACGCAAGATTTAAATTGTTTCGATTTAAATTAATTTAAAGCAAAAAAATCGGTCATATTCAAACGTCATGGCGACCCCATAGCAATGGCACTGACGTCAATATTGGTAAAAATTTTATACTCTTCAGGCAGTATTTTCTATATTTCATATACTCAGTTGCTTTCAACAAGTAAAAATTAAAAAATCCGCCTTAACTTTAAATTTATGCGTCGCCAAAAACATTCTAGACCAATCATCCCGAACAATAATTAAATGATATATTATAAATGTGAATAGTCATTGTAATATAAATCAACCTATATCAGCTAAACAAGCGCATTTCACTTGTTTTGTCAGACAAGGAAACGTTTCAAGAAACTGCTCCTACAAACAAAATGCAGTAAGGCACGATAATTTCAATCACAAACTAGACCACATGAAGAAAAAATTACAAGTACTTCCGGATAAAATGAAGGAAGAGGTGAACATAAAACGCCCATCTGCTGGGCTTAACAAAATAAATGTATTTCTAGTGATTAAACTAAACAGGAAGTTTGCTCATGGAGGACGTTAATGGAAGGACCATAGCTATGAACACAACGTCAGATGGCAACATCAAAAAGATCCAATTAATCCAAAATTGCGCAGCCCGATTAATTACAGGGGTGCCTAAGTATGATCATATATCACCGACGATGTATTCTGTTTCGAGTTAGGATGTTTGTCAGTCAAAGAACATCTATTGTACAGAGATGCGTTATTAACATTTAAATGCATGAATGACAAAGCTCCACAGTATTTATGCGATAATTTTGAACAACGAAACAGAATTCATAACCGAGATACTAGAAGAAATGGAGACCTGGATATTCCAAAATATAGGACATCGATCGGTCAAATATCGTTCAAGTACGACCGAGGGACTGAGATTTGAACAATTTTAAGACGAAACTTAAGACAATTCTTATTGAGAAGCGATGTCCTTCTTTTTAACTTTTTTTAACTCATAAACCATAATATATAGTATAATTTTAGTTCGCGTACTAACTCAGTTGATAAGATTGTTGTAAATATATATAGTCGATAACTCATAATTCCTTCTAAAATCCATGTAAATTGTCATTGAAAAGCCCACATTAGGGAATGTCAATTAATAAATTCAAATTCAAATTCAAACAACAAAACTCATCATATATCACAGAAACATTAATAATTTAAAAAGTCTTGCGGGAATTTTAAACGTTGTGTCAAGCCGTCATATGTAGTTTTTATAACACAAATGATTAAAATTGTTTTGCCCTGGTAAACCGTGTTAACAAGTATTAACGGGAAAGGGTATTTTCGTGACTCGTGATTAGCAATTATTCGTTCTTCGTGATTAGTGACGAGATCCCCCATTGCCCCCCCCCCCCTTCTATTAAAATTGCCCTACTTAAAATGTATTGAAATAATATGGTGGCAAATACATGACAAGAATTTTACACAATCACACATTTCAAAGAGTTTGTTTAGTTGCCATTCTCAAGTCGCCGTCCTCTAAACGTAGACTCCTTCTGTTAGAGAGGTTAAGATACCTGATTCCGGTTTAAGGGTACGAGTATGGCCATTTTATTTATCAAGTTTTGCCGATATCAGCATTTTTACCTGTAATTTCTACCCGTTCTCCTGCGGCAAACCATGGTGTATACACGTAAAAGACAAACGGGTACGGGTGTTTTCTGTTTAGTATTTGTGGGCCGTTTCAATAGCAAAAAGCTTCAACATCTTATCCAAAAAAATAACGAGCATATATATGTTCGTCAAAGTTTTCAACAATTTATGGCGAACCTCAACAGCGAAAGTTACCATTCTCTGATAGGTTTTCTGACGCCGGAGTATCTTGGATTTCTTAAGTTACAAGTCGTTCTCCGATTTACGGTATTGGTACGTGTATATCACCCGTACCCGTAAACTGGAACAGGGGTATCTTAACCTCTCTAATGTTCGCTCCACCCTTGCGGGCAAAGCGACTGCAATGGAAAATTGCCTTAAAGCCGACGTTATGTACTGTACTGATGTCGCACGATTTTCAATTACCCTATAGGCGTACGCACAGAAAAGTTTACATCATTTAATAGTTGTCTTATTAAATAATTAAATAAGTAACAGTAACCTCTCTACAGGTCTGGTTTGACTATAACAGAGTAGTTAGTTTAAAATTAATTAATTAAAGAAAGTAAGAAAGTTAGACAGTAAGTTAGCACAAGACCGAGAACGTTTGTCGTATAATATAATTATGTTCAAACGTTTTGGTATTTGAAGGTAATGGTATCTCCATTCGTCGGTGTTAACACATCAACTCCAACATTGGAAGGTTGACCATTCTTGTAAATGAGCCAATAAAAGTCAGCTGATGGATCTTGTTCGAGACAGCATATTCTTGTAATGAAGCGACCAATACTGAATGTTTGAAATTGGAATCTGTAACACGGGTTTTGTTGGGAAGCCATCTCGAGTATTTCAAAAGCTTTTGTCCCCTGGGACACACTGAGGGTCATTGCAGGTATGAAATTCGCATTGGTGTAATTGGTGAAGACGAGTTCGACAGATACTGAGATTGTCTGAAAATAAACAAGTTAATGAAGATGAGTTTTACAAATCTGCGAAAACGTATAAAAAATAAAATTAAACAGTTATTGGGTAAGATTTTTGTGATATCCAGGATTACCAAGGAGTACGTACCGACAACTTCACGGTAACTAATGCATTTATTTTTTGCTCAATGCTTAATTAAATTCCTAAAAAAACTCCGGGCGGCATTGCGAACCGTAGATTATGAGATCTGTTTGTTGCTTTAGTCCAACTATAGCATGACTGCCATATATTGCTAAAACTACACGGTGAACTCAACAAGACAATAAAAAGGTAAACTGATTAAAACAATTTATTTTCCTGCTCGTTTTAGCCTAATAACATGCTTTAAAAATGTTCTTTCGAGTTTCAACACGCAGCAAGAAATTGTACTTGCCGAAAACATTTTGTCAAAAAAAGTACATCTAGCACTAAAATTATTTAAAATGCTAGCGTTTTTAGAGTAGGAAAGCTGTTACTAAAAAAACATTAAAAAGGCCTTGCGCACAAAAAGATTTCATCGGAAACAAAATTTAATCGCACAGAATCAAAATATGGACTGTCTTGCACAAGCTATCAAAGTTTCAAGAAATTTGGTGGATGCGTACGATAACGCCAGATCTTTAAAACCTGGATTCGCAAGCCAATTCCCAAAGGTCCAAAACAAAATTATTTACACGCACTGTTTACTTACAAACCAAATCAATCTTCAACGTAGGAGGGCACGTAGAACGTACAACGTAGAACGAAATGAAGGGCAAGTTGAAGATTGATCTTGTTTGTAAGTAAACACTGCATGTCAATAATTTTATATGAAACGCTCTCAATAACTGGGAATTGGCTTGTGTATTTCGTATTGTAATTTATGCAAATGTACGAGCATGCATAAAATTAATTTGATATAAGTAGTTTCCTACGGTACGCAGCGGTGTAGTAGGAAAGTATATTCATTACGTCAAAGCAGTATTCCCATTGGGGGTGAAATGTTTAATAAAGAGCTGTCGTCTTTGTCACTGGGCCACAACAAGTGTTCTCCAATGTCTGCGTGAAGTAGTAATGAATCATGCAAAGAAATCGCGTTTGAACAAAGAAAATGGGAGAAAATCCATGTTTTGGAGATCTTGCGTTGGCCTATAGGTGCACCAAATTCCTTGAAACTTTGATAGCGTATGCAACACAGTCCATATATTTACTCTATGTGATTAATTTGTAATAGGTTCTTCATATTCTTGTTGGTAGAAGTTGGCAACCTTGTAGGTTTGCATGGCGATAAAACATAATACTAACAATAGTATTATATGATTAAATTGTGTTTTCGGTGAGCAATGGCTTTTTTGGGAAGGGTTTAGTAACAGCTTTCCTACTCTAAAAACATAGCGTTCAGTGGCATAGCCAGACCTTAATTTTTTTTGGGGGGGCGAGGGGCGGGCTAAGTGAACGCAGAAGGCACGAGACCGTCTTGGGGGGTCCGGGGGCATGCACACCCGGGAAAAGTTTGAAATCTAGAGTCCCTGAAAGGCGATTTCAAGCGTTTTGGGGGTGAAATCTTGCAGAATTCCGAAGATTATAAAGTACATCGAAGACATAAATTTTCCCAGACATTTCTACTCGGAATTAAATAAATTGGAAAAGTTACTTTGAAAAACAGGAGGAGGGGTCATTGTCACCTTATTTCCCTTCTGTAATACTGGGGAGAAAATTCCAATGTGATTTTGATCAGAAATGTTGCATTTAAATTATTCTAGGTTCTATATATATATATATGAGACACCATTTCCGCATTCTCAAAATTGCGTTGCTTTTTTATACGATGCAGAATAAATCTGAGAAGAATATTCATGTGATAATGCATATATACATGTAAATCTAAACTAAATCTATTCTTCTTGGAACCATATCTACAAGTGCTTTACAAATGAAGTTCCTAGCTCCAGTATATCGTCGTTTTCCTCAGTCGAGACGTACTTAATCAGTGTCAGCCTTGAGCATGTAATGTGTTTTTTCGAGCATGTAACGTGTAATTTCTCTACGGATTCAGCCTTTTTCAGAGAATGGGTTTTGTGGCGATTTTGTATTTAGTGCTAGATGTACCAGATAACGTTAAAGTACAAAGGCATACTGACTTTAATGAACTTCAGTCCAACTGTATGTATTATTTTTTCTGATATATACACTCTGTATAGACAACTACTGCATTTACATGCAGGCTCTTCAGTATGGCAATTTTTTGACAATTAGTTTGGCAATTCACACAACTTACCAAAACTAGCCAGCCTAAACCTGAGAAAATACTGCTGCTCGTTTTTTAATTAAATCAGTACTTCGAACATTGCCAAAACTTAAAATTTTTATACATATTTAAATTTTTTTAGACAAAACAAGTGCTTGTTGACTTTACTTCTATTTAAAAGTTTTGCTTTTAATTCAGTTTTGTCAAAAAATTATATTCTGGTTTCTGCTCATGTTCATTATTTTTTTCAAAAGTATTTTTTAACCTGCTTAATAAGGTTACATCATATCCTTCGCCCAGCGGCTCCCTCGTGTTCCAAGATCTGCCATGTAAAGTGTAGTGAAATGTATCTCACTACTAATTGTAAACATGGAAAGTCAACAGAAGCGTCTGCGGGGGAGAGAGACAGCACACGATAAAACGTGGATTTTTTTATATAATGTATATTTATTTGTATTAAAGGCATGGAAATATATCATATCCTGCAACGTTTTGGAAAAAATCTTAAAAGAGATCAAGATATTTGGCATAGGCCTATATATCATCATAGATATATTACCTGATAGCGCGAAAGTTATAACTGGCTGGCGCAAATACAAAGGAAAGGCTAAGGCTAAGGAAACTACAAAAACAAAAAGCAAAGCCAAAAGATATAAAAAAAGCGACCGAAGATGAAACCTTTAGACTAAAAACGCCTTCTCCTTGCCAAAACCTGCCAAGGTGTATTTTACAACACGGTTAAAATTAAGGGCGAAGAAGACGACATGCAGAGTAAGTCAAAACCCTGTAAAAGTTTAAATACTAGGCTTTAGAGCAAATTCCCTGTTCAAAAAGGGAAATAAGTAGATAGGTAACCGATTGTTCTCAAATTTTGACACAGAGTTTAGCGGTATTAAAGAAGTAAAACTGTGTTCGCATTTTCGATTTAGTTCAATACTTTTTTATTTTATGAGCACATTTTCCAACGTCTATACACACTATACGGATGATTTTACTAAAACATGAGTCAATCATGTGATGTAACCTTAAATGTAAAAAGTATTTGCTAACCTGTAAACAGTTGTTTGGAGTTTTTTAATTGTATTTTTATTGCCTTTAAGAATATAAAAAGCGATTCGTTGTTTTCGCGTTCGCAAAACTCCGGTAATCAGTCTTACGCCGCCATCTTGCATGTTTTCCCTACCAGCAGAATATGAGCTATTATTATATGGCAAGCATCACTTCCGGTGAAATGGCGGACAGTGATTGGCTGAGAAGTACTTTCAACAAACGCATGCATTTTATTAAAATCAAACAGCAATTTGTTATTAATAAGATATCCGCGAATGGTTTTTAGTGAATGGAAAAGCAGGAATACATTGGTATTTTTTGTTTTCTTCGACCAAATGTGTACCACGCTACTAATATGCATTTCAAATCATGCATTTCTTGTTTGATTCAAGTATAAATGCCTATAAATACCATATAGTAAACTGTTTATTAACCTCGCTTTCTCGGTATGTACAGAGAAATATCGGACCTCGTCCTACGGGCTCGGTATGTACAAAAAAGACCTGGCTCCGATATTTCTCTGTACAGACCTTGCGTGCGGTTAATAAGAAGTTATTATTTTTTCCGGTTTGTAATCCCAGGTCCGTAACGTAAATGGAGCCTTCTGATTGGTTGACGAGAGGTCCGTATCACACGATACGGACCTCTCGGACAGGTTCGGACCTCTCAAAAAAAACCGAGGAGTGAAGACAGTTCAAACTCAAAAAACAACCAAAAAACCCTCCCTATATCGATACTAAAGATAGGAAAATAAGCTAAACTGACTTCAATGGATTTAGTGTCAAGTCTGATATGTACTTTTTTGACCAGTGCGAAAAAACATTTCTTTCAAATGTTTAGTTTTAGAATCGCAGCATATATTCAGCTATATTTCGAAAAATATATGTTAAAATACAAATACTGGAACCAATTAGGACTTATCCTCAAACATAAAATTTTTTAAAAAATCAGTTAACGGCAGTTTAAAATGACTTCTAGATTCATGTTATTAGGCTAAAACGATCAGAAAAACAAATAGTACTCTATTTATTGTCTTGTTGAGTAGAAAAGCATATATTGCAAAAAAAATAAAGGCTTTTTATTGTGTTATTTTAGCAATATGCCAGCCATGCTTGACTAGATAAACAAACACAACTGATTTCAAATCTACTTCGCCACACTGGAGCTTTTTAGGAATTTAATTTAGCATCGTGCAAAAAAAAAGTTATTTTTAATTACGGTTACTTGAAAATTATTTTCCTCGGTGTCAGAAGCGTTCCTCGTCCTCAGTATCGGGCCGCTTCTGAGACCTCAGGAAAATATTCTTCAGTACGGACTCCCAGCCGGTAAATAACATATATTTATTATGTACGTTCAGATGCCATTGACCAATTACGGGTCTTCAATATCATTACGTGCATGCCTGATATTTTGCGTGTAGGACAGTTCATATTGGACAGTAGCTCATTGTGTCTTTTTTCCTGGCTAATCAAACTTATTCAGATGTTTTGTCAATTTTAAAACAAGACAAACGATATGGCAAAGTAATGAAAAGAATTTGGAACATTATGACTGTTTTTTTCTACCAGGTTTGTTTAAAATTATAAAAGGATAGTACTGAGGTTTGTAGTATACCATTTTTTCGTAAAATTGCATCAAATTACTTGGAGTTGATAAACTCCATACATGAAATTGAATTTTTTTATGCCAACTTTGTTTTTTAAAACAAAGTTTATTAACTTTTTTGTTTAGTTATTTAAGCAAATTCGCCGCCGATGTGTGATACTGTTATCGCTGTATTATTCTCACTGCATTATTCATTCTCGCTTATAGACAACTTTAAAATTTTGTTATAGAATTAATTGTTTTGTTCTATATAATCAAACACTTATCGGATTTCAATAACTCCAATATAATATTCTGTTAGTTATATAATATCCTGTTAGTTATATAATATCCTGTTATAGAGCCAGTTAGATTGCAGAATGGCTTATATAAGGTATAAGTTTTATACTCACCGAAACAGCTACCATTCCATAAGTCGTGAAAAGGTTTGAATATAAATAAATAAATAAATAAAATAACAGTTATTGTGATGCTGTCACTATTTGGATTTGATAGTGGGCATGTATGTGTGTGTTAGGCTATATATATATGAAAAATTCACAAAAATTATGTTTCACGAAATTTGGATAAATTTCGCAAAAGAATCTCGCACCCCATGTCTGGCTGTACATCTGTACTCATCGTAATTGATCAACTGAGTCAATTCGTTTATCTTTTATGTTGTCTGACTTTGGGATGGGAAGTAAATTTATGCCCACCGCGAACATTGTTGGCACCATGGTTTCTTTTTAAGAGAGTTTATTGAGGAATAGATTTAGTGCCCCGGGCATATTTTGGCAACGCAATTTCAGGGCACAGCTTTGAAAGGAAGTGCAGAACAAAAATTGTGTTGTCAGAAAAGTGCGAGAGGCATGACACATATACTAACGACTGGCGATAAAAAGACTTATGGAACTGCATGACCTGATACTAATACTAAAATAATAGTCAATGGAAAGAGCCACAGCGGAAATTCTCATATACTGTACTTTTAAGACATTTCCCCTGAGACAACACTCAAACATTTATCAAAGACGCGAATTAACTAAATGTCTTACCGTTTGATCCTGTGAAGAAGAAAGCGACCGTCAAAAATGTCGAAATTATAGCAAACTTCATTATTTGGTTGGTGTTTACCTGTTGCTGCTGATTTCCACAAGTATTACGGTATACCTGTTTTTCAAAGCAAACTGCTCTTTAAATAGTTTTCTCTCAAGACGAAAACAATATGTTAATAGATTTTTGCCGGAAGTTAAACATACATGTATGACGCAAATGATAATAACATAATTGTGCTGTGTGCTGTGCTGTGCTGTAATTGTGCTAGTTATTCTTTATTGGAAGAAAGCAATCTTTGCAATTGTGCTCATAAGTCATCTTATTTCTTTACGAAGTTTGCATGATAATTCGCACGATGTCCAGGACATGACGTAAACGAACACATACCATTCCATAGTCCCCTAAAACTAAGTTGCTTAATGATCAACGCTAAATAATATCGATAAATATTTCGAATATAATTCTTAACGATTTTTGTATAGTAGGCTAAGTTTTCGTATATCGAACAAACCGTGTTTTAAACAATCTATAAGCCATGATAGCTATCAAATCATAGTTAGAAACAATGCTACATTTTAAAATAATTAAGATGAATCGCCAACGTGTCATATGTTTCATTTTCACGTCAAAATCCGTCTAGCATAAGGGATGGCTTCACTATATAAACCTCTATATAGAGAAGGAAAATTCGGACATAACTGTGAATAGAGAATTTTAAAAGCGACTATCAAAATGTTGAAATTATATAGCAGACTTCATTATTTGGCTGGTGCTCGTCTGTTACTGTTGGTTTCGACAATTGTCTGGTTATTTATCTACATAACATAGTCTGGTGAATTTAACCAGGACGTCGTGGCCAAATACAACCAGATTCCTGGTTACATTCATCAAACTATGGCAGCTGCGAAGTGAAAAAAAAATCCCTTAACCAGGAATATTAAGTTATCCCGAATAGGGTTAGTATTTCTACGTTAACCAGTAAAATTGTAACCACGCAGAGTGTTTTAGAGTGAGCGATCGAGTTGAGGAAGTTTTTGACTTTTGACACTTTAACAAAATAACGTTTGCGTGATGATTCGCAGACTATTGGGGACATGACGTAAATGTTATAGACAGTGTGGGCGTATCTTTCTGCAATTCTCCATATAAGGCGTTTTTAATGATCAACGCAAAATTGAACTAGTCGGAGTTGCGATTTAAGATTTTAAGCGATCAATCAATCATATCAACAAATATTTCGAATATTAGTTTTAAAAGCCATTTATTTGAAACGATAATTAACTTAAAAACATTTTAATAATATTTTGTGAAGTATTTTTATGCACATACCAACATACCATATATATATATATATATATATATATATATATATATATATATATATATATATATATATATATATATATATATATATATATATATATATATATAGAGCCTATAGAGAATATTGCATGGGTCCTTGGAAATACCAGATTGATTTCGAAACACGAGAAATAAATCTGGTATTTCCAAGCACCCATGTATTTTTCTGTTTATTTTATAAAGGACAGCCTCTGAAAAGCGATAATTGAAAAGCGATAATTGAAAAGCGATAATTTTCACATGTGAAATTATCATAAATAATCTCACATTTGAGATTATCAGTTTTATCAGTGCTCGAAATCTCTATAAAGCACTATACTTTATATAATAAAAAAGATAAACGTTTCGGACGACGCACGTCCTATGCATGGAAAACAAATGTTTTCTTCTATAAACAAATGTATTTCGCAATTTCTTCCGATGCATTACAAATGTAAGTGTGATAAAAAGTTATTTACACCTACCAAGCATGAGCTATACTTGTTTCACACTTTAATTTGATTAGTATGTAAACACTGTCACAAAGAACGCTTTGTTCAATTTAAATGAAGAATCACATCATTTGCGTCATACCTGCATTGTTGTAACTTCGAGTTATTAGTCAACTCGAATCGCTATTTTCAAGTACTGGACTCCAATACAAATTGAGTCAACAGACTCAAATACTGATCTTGGCTCAGACTGCCTCAATGATATCTGCCATAAATGTTAGTTACACCTACTAAACATGAGCTATTTTCGTTTCACATTTTAATTTGATTAGTATGTAAACACTGTCACAAAGAACGCTTTGTTTAATTTGAATGAAGAATCACAGCGCACTTACACCTTATATCATTTGCGTCATACGTGCATTGTTGTAATGTCGAGTCATCATGCAGTCAACTCGAATCGCTATTTTCAAGTACTCGACTCCAATTCAAATTGATTCAACAGATATACACTCAGAGTAACATCGTAAGCGTCATATTCACCTGAGTACATTACACCAACACAGAAAAAATCAAGATCCAAATATCTTGGCTCAGACTGCCTCATTGATACAGTATCTGCCGTAAATGCTTGAGTCAACTCAAGTGTAACTTGTTCAGAATACACTCATAAAAAATATTATGGTGAAGAAGAGCAATGAATTCATCTCGATACTGATCACATTGGGGCTTCGGTGGCCAAGTGGTTAGCGCACTTGCCTTTCACCTCTAAGGCAACTGCATGGTTCAAGCCTCAGTGAGAACTTTTCAATGTGACTCGAACCCAGTCCTCATGTGAAAAGAGTAAAAGTCAACGCTCTGCCGAAGGTCGTGGACTTTCTCCGGGTACTCCGGTTTCCTCCCACAGGGAAAGTTGACAGGGTGGGTTAGGCACATAGGTCAGGAGGCAGATCATTAATGAGGTATGGACTAATAGCGGATGCTCAAGCGCCATTTGTAAGCTCAAAGTCTACTTCGGTCTGTTTCACGTCAGTCCGGTTCTATCTATCTATTCACAATGTAACCAGTCACTGAAGAGCCCTGATAGGGAGTGTGCTGTGAAATATCTGTAACTTCATTTATGAGTCGAGTTGTTAGTTATGCTAGTTATATGAGTTTAAACAGTACTTCATACATGACACTGGGTTGTAATTAAACCTGTACATCCTAGCTCGCTCCCGGGATGTTGTCTTTAAATATCTAAAATGATTAAGGTGAATTTGATTGGTTGCTAATTCCACAGATTGGTGAACTAGAATAACAATGAATTCTTCTCAATGCTGATCACCTTATTCCATAGATTGAAACCAGCCATGCAGAGTGGCACTTGACTTGTTACAACACTGCGTGTGTGTGCAGTACGTTGAACGTCTTGCAACACTCTTTTTCTTAACACGCTTTCTTCTTGAGAGAAGTATATCCAGACAGAAGATTGTTTAGAGAAAAGGCTACTGTACACTGCTTATTACTTGTTGAAACCAGAAGTATAACAGGCGAACATCAGGCAAAAATGAAGTTTACTCTAATTTCAACATTTTGACCTAATTACCTACCTTGGTAACGTTAGTTTAGTTCGTAAAAGTTGAATATAGTCTGAAATTGCACTCTCTCGAAATCTGTATACGGAAACTGTCCGTTTATGCCAGACTAAATTTTGTAGGAGCCTTTAAAGACGTCAAAAAGATGGCATTTTTTCTCATTCACAGCATATAAACTGCAGAGCAATGCACATCATAGCACTTGCAAAATGTAACAAACGGTGTGTTGGTATGTGCATAAACATACTTCAGAAAAATTATTAAAATGTTTGAAGTACTGTTTAATAAACGAGCAGGAGTGTTTTATTAGGTTTAAAGCCGCGCGCAGCGCGAGTGGCATAGACCTAATAAAACACTACCTCGGAGCAGAGACGTGCTGAGGTCTTAAAATGGACAACGAATAAGCATCGTTTGATGGGGCCCAGGCCCAGTGACGGATTCCTGAATGTTAATATTTTTTCCCAAAATTGTTGTCGGTAAATTTGTCGTTAATATTTTCGTAAATTTACATCTTTACAATATAAATTGTTATGTATTATTAATCTTGATTTTCAAAATATTTTCTAATGTTTTCATTTTAGGGGCCCATGATGGCAGGGGCCCACAGCAAGTTCTCGTTGGCTCGTCCCTGCCTACGAGTCAGTTAATAAATGGCTTCAAACACGACAACAAATTCAATAAATATATCTGCCTTATTGGTATTCTTTATATAAAGAGTACCAATGAGGTCATGACTACAATAGATACTGGCTTATTAGTATTCTTTATATAAAGAATACTAGGGTGCGTTCCTGTAGTGCAATTCGGATTTTGATCTTCAAATCCGATTATCGATTTTCAGTTTTATCATTGTAACAAAATCTTAAAATAGGTTCGAATCTGATGATTCCACCTCAACATATGGATTTTTCGGATTCAATCTGAAACTTGATTAGGATTCAAATGTTCCTTTTGAGCTTCTGGCCTTCTAGCATGTACCTTGACCCGATCGAAAGGTATAGTGGGACAGAAAACTTATTGTAAAATGGGAAAAATGTAAAATGGGAAAACGACAAGCGAATTCCAATTCTCACAAATCGTTCCATTTGTTTAACGAATCCAAAAGATCCGAATCCTAAAAATCGAAATCTAGATTTACAAAAGAAACGCTTCATTCAAATTAAACAAAGCGTTCTTTGTGATAGTGTTTACATACTAATCATGTTGCATCCATGACGTAGAATTCACGGTCATAAACGCTGTAGAATTTTACTGGAATAATAATATGGTTAAAAGGCTTTTTTGACTGAAGAAAGTACCACCTGAAAGTTGTACTGTGTCTGAAATAGAAATATGAGGCTACCTAAAATTATCAAAAAGTGATTGGCTCCTGCGGTTTTTCAGGTTGCAAAAGCGCGACTGTTTTTTCCATTTTGTAGCGGCGAACGCACGCCAAAGACCCCAAAATATCGACTATTGAGGCAACAACGCTGATTTCACGAAAGGTACCACTCGGAACATGTAGGGTTTTATGTAACCTTAAAGCCATAAAAATCGTTGCCGGATGGTTCGTGCTGAGGGAAGATGTAGTTATTTAAATATAGAAAATATAACGCAAAATTCTCTTTCCTGTCGTTTCGCCATTGCTCAAGTAACTTGCCGGTATGAACCGAAGACACATCGAGGGTGCACTGAACGCGCGAGTCAATCATATCAAAGGACAAAGGAAGAACAAATTAATTAGCCCCTTCCGTCCCCCCTTGAGAAAAG